CTCTCACACAGCTGCACTCTTAGCATGCTCAAGCTACTATTTGTCAATAATAACATATTTTATCCATCTCTCACAAGCGTGTATATAGCCTGATTCCCAACAATCCTGGGTGGTGTATATATATCAGGTAACATCGCTGAGCACTCTACAGCAGGAATATCCATTCTCTTTTTCAGGCCAAAGGGGGATACTTGGCCCTTGAGTAGCATACTGGAGCCAAAGTAGGAAGAACCAGGCAAAACTAAGAGTTAATATAAATCTCTATTCCCATGTATTTAGCATCTTTCCCTTTCATTCTATGAAGAATTACAATTTGGCAGTTTTGGAGAATCCCTAAATTATATACTCTATCTAAATCGTCAGGAGGTATCATAAAATCTCATAAAGTATCATGAGCTTGTATCAGTATGTTCTATGTACCTCAGTTGGTGGGATGCTGATAACTGTATGTTGGTTGCAAGTTATTCTCTAGATTAGAAATCTTGCCTTGCATAGGATCATGTGAGCATGCTTGGTGTAAAACTGGGCTTTGATTGCACCTACATCTGCCCAAGCTGACCAGTATTTTGCTTATTGTTAGAAGGGAGTGCTGGATGCAAGATCAGTACAACTAATGGTAATGTAATCTACACCTTCTCTATATTACTAATAAGGGTTTCATGAAAGCCCTGATGGATCAATGCCAGGATGGGGTATGGAAGTTCATATCTATAGGACAATCTGGTGATGAACATGGTTTATAGAATATTATGATTTGGAATGTCAGAGAAGTAAATGGTAAATACAAAAGTGAATGACCAGACTGAAAGAAGTATGCTGAAGTGGTTTGATCATATAGAATAGAATAAATTAAGATTAAATCACAAAACAAAATTTGAAGGAAGAGTGAATGAAAAGGGAAGGGAAAGACTGAGGAAATCATAGCTGGATGGGGTTGATGAGATCCTCAAAGACAGAGAGAAATTAAGAGCAAAAGGCAATATATAAAGTGGCGTATGAACATGATGGTAGCAAAAATGATTTGCAAGGATAGCAAGGTATCAAGTAGTGTGAATGGTATTGGATAAACTAGATTTGCTATGTTTCTTTAAAAAAATGCCTTTAATTTCTTTAGCTTGCTATTTCTTACTCCTTTTCTGTACTCTGCATAATATTTCTCACCCCCGAAAGGGAATAGAGTGATGGGAATTAATGTAGATATAGATATACAGTATATAAAAATATTGCCTACACTGAATAGCAGTGGCTCTTTAAGATTTCAAACAGGCATGTTTCTTAGCCAGACGTAAGAAACCAAGGGTTGAATTTGAGACCTTTTGCACCACAAAGATACTTCCCGAACAAGCTGTCTCATCCCCAGCTTGCTGCAGGGGCAGCCTAAAGTTGTCTTTGGTTGTTCTACTTGTGGTGGAAAGAAGTGGTGCTTCCTCTCTTCTCCTAACACAAGTCTTGTAGTAGGGACAATCGATAGTGCCTCAGAGATGAGCCTGGAAATTAAATGGTCAGAGGCAGGGCTCTGTGCAGCAGCTTAAGTCTGCTGCGAGTGTGCACTTTTCCTATCCTCTTGCTGGGTATTGATCCCTGTGGCCATGTAGGCTTGGGTTGCAACAGAGGTCAGACACCTGCTCTGCAAAGCCTTTTATTGATCTGTTTTTTGACACAGAAATAATCCACCTCCTGGAATACCAACATTTGGATATTTTAAAAAACATAGGAAGGAGATTGATAGTCTTATAGGGAATAAATAAATACTTTAAAAATCTGGCTGACTGCCGGATAGGAGAGGGTGTCCACAGGCTTTAGCCCTGCCTTGCCATACATTACAGAGAGTAATTGGTGGTATTTTTTTCCTGGTAGGCATCACTGGGAGGGAGGGAAATGAAGCTGGGGAACCTATCAGTCACTACCTTGAAGAGTCCCGCATTAAATCTGTAGGGAGAACAACACTCCTTGGGCTTGTTACTGAGTCACAGTAAGCTTGGCTATGGAGGCAACACAAATTAAGTCAACCCTTCCTCCTTGTTCTCTACTTCTCCTGCCACCCATGGGTGGGGAAGTGAAGTGGGAAAATGTCATGAAATTTTGCCAAAATAAGAAGCACAACACTAAGGAAAAGAACCATGTTTATTGCAATGATCATTGGGTGCCAGCTTCAGAAGAAAGGACTCCAAACAATGAAAAGCAAAGATTTTTACAGAAGTTGAGGGCTACAAGGCAGGAAATCCTAGGGATCTGATTGGCTGGCCAGTTTGGGGAAGCTGGGCAGGTCTTTGTCCCTGTGCCTGGGGTGAGTTTTATTGTTAGGCAAAGTGGGCCTCTCAAGAAGGCAGCAGAACTGGGCAAGTTCATTGTGAAGCAGATGGAATGTTGAGGTCATCAGCTGATAAGAAGATGGAAGGTTGGGGTTTCTCTAGATTGCAACTTCCTTGTAAGGGTTGCCCTTGGGCTGTACTGCGAGCAGGTGAGCAGGCTTCTATTCTTTGGTCTAGAAGGGATTGCAGGGAGCTTTACCTAGGGCAGAGAGGGTCAATTTGGGTCTGATGGGATTAGGCAAAGAGAGGAACTGGCTTTGACCTTGGTCATATCAAAAAGACTTGGGGGAGGGGGAGGGGGAGGTGCAATTTCCATTTTGTTTGCTAGGTTTATTTTTTCCACTACAGGCACAGTGGGAGAGTCCTGCTAACCAGTGGCAGAACCAGAGTGGGACATGCCAGCAGCAGCCTCAGCTAGCCACTAGGAGCAGGGCAGGCCACATCCCTAATCTTACTTCAGTATGATGTAGTTCAGATGGACTAGATAGCTAGCTTATGCCAAAAAAGCTGAAAAATACTGTTTACAAACGGAATATGAAGAGTTGAGTTCTGGCTGCCTTTTCAGCAGGTCAGGGGTGAATTGAACATGACATAATTTGTTCATGTCCTTTACACTGATCTGCTGAGGCATCTATAATCCATGGTGAATAGGTCATGCAGAATCCTAAGTCTTCTGCTCTGAGCTAGACCTGAGATAGACAGTGATAGTTTCACCAAGTTGGATTCACCAATAGGTCACATATCATTCAAAAGTACAGATGGGATATAATTTTATATTTTTCATCCAGCATCAGCCAATCTTTAAGTAGTATTAATTAAAAGGGAAATTGATTCTATGTTTTTACAGGAATTATTGTGAAGAAGGTTATTAATTTGCAATCTAATTGCTGTTTGTTTTTTTAAATGTTTCTGTTTTAATAGTGAATTCATAATGTATTTGTGAACATTTTATCTCTCTAACCACAAGTGTTTGTTCACAGCAACAAATTGAACGACAACTAAAATGCTTGGCATTTCAAAATCCAGGACCTCTGCTAGCAGATTTCAACCCAGAAACTCGGGAACAACAAAAGAAAGTCTGCATGTCAATGATAAACCAGGATTGTTTTAATACTACAAAGAAGTAAGATGTTGTATCCAAGTTCTTCCTATATTTTAAATTAGCTTTGGAAATAGAAATTCACAGGGTTGTTTAATCATCTCCAGATGATTAAGGCTCCAGATTAATGCGTGTCTTCTTGGAAGTTCTACTGAAGTTAATGGTGTACAATATATTCATAATTACCATGATTGCTACGATCACTACTATTGTTCCTTGAATTTCTCTTATACAGTGGTACCTCTACTTACGAACTTAATCCATTCCGTGACTCTGATCGCAAGTCG